TTTCCTGAAATCCTTTCAAATTTAACAGTTTGACCCGGATCAATTTTGTTTACTTCTTTAAAGAACTTTAGGAATTTCTAAAGACAATTTTAAAAGCTAGTGACAATCTACAATTGATGATTCAACTTTATACTTGATTTCCTTAGGATGTTTTAAATTAATCACATCCAGTGTGGGTGAATTTTTACTATTTATTTTGTTGATTTATTCCATGTCTCCTTTTAGTGGTGTCTGAACTTGACATTGGTGCATTAACCAGTATGCTTATGTAAATTAGGATCCAAATGTGAAGCAGTCCTAAATTACTTAATGGTGAACATGGGTGCAAATAATTATTTTCCTATGACCTTCTGTTGGCTTTCTGCCGTGTTTCATAGAGAATTTTCTTTTTCATTAGTGAATGTAGGTTCAGTCTGACTTTCTGCAGAAATACGTTAGTTGAACATTTATGTGATCTGTCATGAGCTCAGTCAGATATTTACCAATGCTAGTGGAAAAGACAAGGTTGGAAGCAAAAGTAGACAACTTGTGATAATGAATGTAATATAGTAAACTAAATGTAGTGTATGAAGCCTCATTTTTCAGTAAATTAATCTTAAACTAGGCTGTGATAGAACATACGATTAGTGATACTGAAGCAGCCTCATAGGGAAGGAAATGCGTTTCGCTAGCATCCACAGCTACTAGGTTTGTAGGAGAATCAAGATGTTGAAGCAATATGTGCTTAACATGCTTAATATTTTTTCATGAGTAACATTCTTACAGTCTGCTATAACAAATATCCCAAATTTTATTGACATGCAGTCTTGCTCTGGTTGAAAGGCCAGAGTATGGCTTTTGAGAATGTATCATAATGCTCATTGCTGGCTGCATTTTGACGATAGCCAGATTTCCCATCACCAACTTCACTATCCTGCATAAATTTAAGAAAGGTAATGATTAATGTGTGGTTGCAGAGCTGAGGTTTCTGCAGGGTGGAAAAAAACTGATTACCTATTATTCCTGCTCTGACCTATTAGATAACCAAAGTCCTGGTCATTTGTGAAATTCTGAAGTCAAACATACTTAGGAGGAACCTTCTAAGTCATTCTGCTCTTGACTGCAACATTGGAGCAGAATGGATTTGGAATAAAGCTTAATTAACAGGACACCAAAGCAATGTAGGCATATACTAGTTTTCCTGTTACCCTTTTTTTTTAAACAATCCTTCCTAAAAAAATAGAAGTTGGTTTAAATGACAGTTTTATTCCTGCTATAAAATACTGATTTCTTGAGCATGTTCAGATTCATGCCTTGCTGAAAGATCATCCTGTGGGACATGCTAACAGTCTGTCTACAGCACTAATATATCTTCTTCAGTTATTCACTAGTTAGGAAGATTATATATCAGTGTTGCATATGTTAGCACAGACTTTTTCCTGGATTTGAACTTTTCTTGCTGTTGAGATTACATTGTAGTCAGGCAAAAAGGAGCTTTATATTATTGGCTTTATTTGCAAGAATAGCTCAGTTTTCTTTCATTGAGGGCAAAATACGCCTTTAAAAATATTTTGATCTCCATCAAATCAGTGTGGCACTGATGTTGAGGGCAAACGTTTGCTTGATTTCATTTTGACTATTTGATAATGTGTATGATGAAGAATTCACATCTACTTTACCATAAACTTCTATTTACATCTTAGTACAGGTGCATTCAGCAGCTCTCACGTATCTTGTCTCTGATCAGAAAGGTTAGACACCTTTGAAATTGGAATGATTTTAGTTGGATCCATTCTCAGACTAACAATAAAACCCAATTTTTAAATAGTATTCAAGACATAAACGTGTGAGGCTTGATGAATTTCATCTCACGTAATTGTCGGTTTGGATCTGTATCTTTATTGGTGTTCATTTTTAGCTCCAAGATGTGTACCATACATTTAGTCACATAGTTAGTATACCGTAACTATTACTCATGTGATTAGTAAATATTTAAATGTATTTACTGAATGGAAACTGTAATTTCTGCCATGACTTACACTTTTTATACATTGCAGACATCAAAGGCAGTATAAGGGGGGGATACTTGCTCAAAGAATGGTAATTAAGAGACATGTAAATGTTTTTGTTTGTAGCATCTGACAGGTATGTGCATTCTGCCTAATATGGAATTCACTTGTACTTTTATAATAGTATAATAATTTCTCATTATGAAATTATTAAAAGTAGTCAGAATAGAAAATGCCAGTTAAAAAATGAAAATAGAAATTGCACATAAATGTAACCAGGTTATTAGGGAAAAATGCTGATTTGTAACTAAAATAAAAATTTAGATTCATAAGAGAAACACATAAAGTATTTAAAATAACCCTGGATCCATTGTTGCCATGCAAAAGTCTTATTTTCAGAGTATGACTTGCTGGTTTTTTGACATTAGTATTTCAGTTATTTCAGTTTATTAGGCTTATATAGCTGAGTCTTTTAAAAGCTGATTTTGACTGAAATAGAAATGGTAAAAAAATTTAGTTGGACAGGGTAACTATGGCTATTTTAGTGGTTCTAGATTTAGTCCAGCATACTTAGTATTGCGATGTGAATATTTAAAGTCCAATTTTGAGACTTAATTTTCTATTTCTTGTTGGCAATACAGCATTAAAGTATGGGGATATCATGTTCAAAGTGTGGTGCTCTAAATTTCATTTTATAGCTTGTGATCATTTCAGTTACTGAAACTGGTTCCTAACAAAATGATTTTTATATTATAATTATTTCTGCTTTAGTGTTCGAAAACTTAGTTATTGAATTTATAGAAGTTTCTCAGTGTTGCACCCTCTATGGGTCAAAATCTTTTTATTAAAAACACTCTTAAATTATCCCTGAGATGCCAAAATGCAATTTTCAGGCAACTTTTACTGTAGTAAAAAGGTATTTCTATAGGACAAGATGAGATAAAATCATAGTGCACATTCAGAGCTATTCACATTGTTTGAGGAAGGCAAAAGATTTTATCCCTGTTTGCCTGAATGCTTGGGTATTGAAGAAAGTAATATGGAATTGAAATTGACCAATATATGTGGCACAACTTGCTGAGTAAATAATTGCTCTTTAATGATGGAAAATACCAATAACATTTTTCTAATGGTTGTAAAAAAATAAAAGCTAGGTTTAAAACTAGTATAAGCATGTCTCCGGTTGATTTTCAGTCAAAGAATCAATAATAAATTGTTATTTTCCAAACATTTTTTCTTATACTAATGTGTTATGAAACTACATTGACAATGTCTTG